CATCACCAAGGATGGCAGATGCTCCCCAGGGGGGGGTAGTTGACATGCAAAATCCAGAGGAACCAGAATTCCTATCTCCAAAATCATTAGGGGTGAACACCACAAGAACAAGAGTGAGGACCAAAATTGATTTTGTGTCAATGAAACAAGCGGTGAAATGGGCCAAAAAGACAAACGAGCCTATGTTCTTGTGTGTTCTTCGAGCTAGTTCACATCCAGATGGGAATAAGAGGAGAAAGGCCAAGGCAGGGGCGGCTAAGGGCACTATAGAGGGCAAGAGACGCCGAACATTTTGGCAGTCCAAGCCAGTGACCCAAGAGGTACCTGTAGAGCAGGCGATACGGACGAAGGTGGAGGAGGCTGATCCAGCCGTTAGGGATAGATTGGCAGAGACATTGGAGGAATACAGAGATGTCTTTCTTGATAAGCTTCCACACGGGCCCCCGCCCAAGCGAGTCATCGATCATGAGATTGAGATGATACCAAGGGAAGCACCGCCTCATAGAAGCCCTTGCAGATTGAGCAGTGTGGAACTTGATGAGATGAAGAGACAGATCGATGCACTCTGGGAGCAAGGCTGGATCCGACCAAGCTCTAGTCCGTATGGGGCTCCAATCTTGTTCATCCCAAACAAAAGACGGGAAATGGAGAATGTGTATTGATTATCGGGCTTTGAGCAAGATCACAGTGAAGAACAGGTACCCTCTACCGAAGGTCGAGGAACTGTTGGACCGACTTGAAGTTGGCGACTTCACGGAGCTCATTACTTTATGAAGATTGACATCTCCTTTGGTTATCATCAGATTAGAGTGAGAGCGTCGGACATTCATAAGACAATTTTTGTGAGTCATTATGGCTCCTACGAGTATTTGGTGATGCCCTTCGGATTGTGCAATGCCCCAGCGACATTTTAGAGGATCATGAACACAATCCTTCGAGATGGCCTGGACCAATTTGTATTGGTGTTCCTCGACGACATTTTGATGTACAGCCGGATATCAGAGGAATACATCAGACACATCCGGGCAGTGTTGGATCAACTTCAGTCAGAGAAATTGTGTGGATATTTGAAGAAGTGCGAGTTCTTCTGGACTGAAGTCGAATACCTCGGGTTTGATGTCGGAGCAAATGGTGTGAAGCCCTCATTATCCAAGGTCGAGGCAATTCTGAATTGGCCTACCCCTGAGAGCGTCACGGACGTCCGATCCTTTTTGGGGGTGACTAACTTTTACAGGAAGTCCATTAGATGGTTCAACAAGATTGCAGCCCCATTAACAGACCTCACGAAGAATAGACAATGGAAGTTTAGTGATATAGAGGAGCAGGCATTCAACCGACTGAAAACAACTATGGTGACAACACCCATTCTTTAGCTACCAGACTTTGACCATGAATTTGTGGTAACAATAGATGCTTCAGAAGTATCAGTTGGAGCCATTCTATAGCAGGACTTTGGTAGTGGACTACAGCCTATTTGTTACGAGAGCCGAAAGATGAATCATGGTGAGACTCGGTACAGTGCTTACAAGCGGGAGCTATTGGGCATTGTGTGGTCGGTTGGAAAATGAGGACATTACTTAGCCTGCAACCACTTTATTATCAAAACGGACCATGACAGTCTGAAGAATTTACCAAACCAACCATCAGTAAATAGAAGGGTTTGGAAATGGGTTCAAATCTTGTAGGGATATGATTGCAAAATTGTCCACATTCCAGGAAAGGACAACTCTGTAGACTTCCTATCCCACCGGAGTATCCGGGACATTCGCAGTATGATGGATGTGCAGGCACAGGAAGAGTCGTTAGTCCAGAGATTGAGGTTGGGAGAGGATGATCAGTCTAATGATGCTATACAGAGGAAATTGAACGATGTATTCAAGAAGTCCAAGTTGGAGATTCCCCAGACAGAGGATTCTAAAACCGATGAGGGAATCCATTCTTCATTTGTGACATCTATGCAAATAACTCTTTGGATACATCTGTGAAGAGGCAAATAGAGAAAGGGTACCAAGAGGATGTATGATGGGACGATATCATGAGACAATTGGTTTCGTCCCAGGTTACTTGGGCAAGGTACACACCGTTCATGTAGGCATCCATGTCCATCGGAAAGCTCATGGATTATTAGAGGTGCACATCAGAGAGGAGGACACAAATGTACACTGATGGAGAGTGGTCATACCTAGTGTACCGGAGGTTAAGAAGAGGATCATGGGGGAGTTATATACAGTTCCCTATTCGGGACATCTGGGATACCACAAGACGCTCAAGAAGGTCCAACAAAACTTCTATTGGCCAGACCATACAGTGGATGTTAGAAACTTCATTCTCGGATGTCAGGTCTGCCAGATGGAGAAGAGCGTCTATAGAGTACCAGCAGGACTCCTACAACCACTAAAACTCCTTGATGAGAAATGGGTCAATATCAACATGGACTACATCATGGGATTGCCAATCAGTGAACATGGACACGCTGGAATTCTGATGGTAGTGGACCGAGCTACAAAAATGGTACATCTAATACAGATGAAGCAGATTATTACGGTAGCAGAGACCGCTCGGCTCTACTGGGACAATGTTGGAAAACATCATGGAATTCCACGTTCCATTGTATCAGACAGAGATCCCATATTTGTGTCCAAATTCTAGCGAGAATTTTGGAGGATATTCGGAAGTCGACTGAGGGTGTCCAGTGCACACCACCCACAGACCGATGGACAAACGGAGATGGTGAATAGGGTGGTGGAAATGGTCCTCCAATGTATTATCCATAAGTCTTCACTAGAGATAGCGGAATGGGACAAATGCCTCTCGATGGTGGAGTTTGTTATAAACAACAACATCTCCCAGTCTACGGGGTACATGCCATTCTATTTAAACTATGGTTATGAGCCGTGTACACCCATCGACTTGATTCGGGATGTAGACACCACACGCATTGAGGGTGTCAATGTTTTTACATCCCAAATGTAGAAGAACTTCAAGAGGGCAATGCAATATGTTCATCAGGCTCAACAACGACAGAAATCCCTCGCCAATCAATGGCAAAGAGAGTAGGTGTTCTATAGTGGAGATCAGGTGCTTCTTAGCACACAACATCTGACATTGAAGAGTGCACCTATTAGCAAGTTGAGGAAGAGATTCGTAGGTCCATTCTTCATGACCCGCAGAGTAGGACCAGTGGCCTATGAATTAAATCCTCCTACTTGATGGAAGATCCATAGGATTTTTCACACAAGCTTGCTACGACCATTCCGAGTGTCGAGGTGGACACCCGCGACTGTTATTAAAATAGAGGAAGAGGTTGAGCCTGAGGATAATGAGCCCTATGATGTAGAGAAACTTCTACGGTGGTATTGGAGGGGACCCAGTCAAATGAGGGTCAAAGAATATTTAGTCCTTTGGAAGGACTGGTCGATGGATGACGCTTCCTGGGTGCCAGAGGAAAATTTCGATCACCCAAGGGAATTGAGGAAAATGATCGCCCGGGACAAACCCATTGAGGACTCTAGTTAAGTTTATAATCGGGTAATGGCAAAATGTACTGATTTATGGGAGTCAGTGTTTTCGAGGGCGAAAACTTTCCCAAGGGGGGAGTAGTGTAACGGAATTACATGGGGAGACTATTTGCCCCTTTGATTTTTCCCCCTATTCCCTGAGGCCTCTTATTGGGAATATTATTATCTTAATTTATATTAATTAATAACCTAATTAAGGGTTGTAGTAGATGGGACTGGAGCCCTGAGAGGACACTCCTTCATTTGGGTGATTTCTGGCCAGCTGCAATACTTTATGGCAGCTTGGGGAACGGCTGTACTGAGCTTGGACGATTTGGGGTGTTTTTGGACTCACGGCGGGCGACCCAGGACGCGGTACACCCTACTATACAAAAGGGCTGTGGTTGTGACATCATTAATCCAATCTTGCGTATTGATTCTGGCATCAATACCTCTGGTTCGCGCGGATCAGACCATACTCATGCAACCAAGCTCACAGCGCCCAAGACTCCCTTGGTGCGACCCCAGCGATCCTCCAGGGATCTGGGGCCCAGATTCTGGGCCCACCACCTAGGAGTGCACCAGGCGCGTTCCCCAGACAAGCGGCGGCCTCCATCGGTCACAGCTGGCCATTACCGGCCACTTGGGCGAAAAGGCGGCGGCACGACGTGCATCGCGCAAACCAACACCCCATCACCTTGCTTGTGCCACCTTTGTGCATTGGCACTTGTCTCTTTCTTCTCATTATTACTGTGACGTGCTCGAGTCATCCCGTGGGCATGCCAGGGCGGTTTGCTCAGCAGATACCAGACAGTGATTCGTGTATTCGAAATGCACCTGTGATAATTATAGCATTTCTGATTGCACCTATATGATTATACTTCCTCTGTCCGGAATTCAATGCAACAGGTTGTAGGCTAACCACATTTGTACCATGTGCTTCGTATTTTTCTTCAAAAATTTGACCAGAGCTCGCACTCTGTGTTTACTCAATGCTATCCAAAAATTCATTGGGAGAAAATGAAATTGATGCCATGGGTAGTACTTTGAAGCCGCACGACTTGTGTAAACTAACATGAGGTAGCTGGTTTACCCTAAAGATACACTGAGAACTGATAATAAACAAGAGTATGTACTTAAATTGGATGGAGGAGGCTTTTAGCTTTCCATAGGTCTTTGTATCATCCAAAACGGGTTAGCGGTAGAGGAGGTATGACTAGATAAATTTCCTGTACTTAAGTGGTTGTGGTGGGGGGATGATGTCCACGAAAAGAAGAAAAAAGCACGCAAGTCCAGAAACCTGCCCAGTGACAGTGTCGCCCATCCTTCCGCAAGTCCCAGCCCCGTTGTTGGCGGCTGTCGCGCGGCCCCATGGGCGGCGTCAAGAGAAGCGCACCAGAACCCGAGGAGGAGTGCTTTCCTCGTGGCGGTGGGCGCGCCTGCCTCAGCCGCAAGGATGTGCACAAGCTGGAAATGCGAGCGCAGGCGGAGGTGGAGAGGGAGATGGCGGCCCCGGAGGAGCGCAAGAGGAAAAAGAGGAGGCGCCAAGCGCAAGGCGATGAGGAGGTGCGGGACGCCGGCGCCAGGAAATGCTGTGGCCTTTGTTTCGCGATAGGACTTGCGCCGCCGGTGGCGAAGGGAAGGCGTGCCCTGCTTTGACGCCTCGCAGCGTTTGCCGTCTGCGATCGCAGGGTTTTGTTTCTGGCTTGGCGAGAACTTCTGAAGGGCATCAGACCGTGGAGCCCTTGAGATACAAGGTGATGACTCGAAGGCTCGCACTGGAATGGGTGCTGTTTGAGACCTGACTGATTGCTGCTGCTCGTGCCACTCCTGGCCGTTGGCATGGTGAAAGACGATGGCTGGCTGCTCTTGAGTGTATGTCGCTTTGTCGCGGGTTCTGCGGGCGTCCAGCCTTTTGGCCCGTCTTGTTGTGTGCTTGGTTGTTTATCATGCTGCAGGGAACTGCAGTAGTAGGAAGTGTCATGTCTCCATGCTGTGCACGACACTTGCTTGAACAAGACCCTGACAGGCACCATTTTTTCTGCAGCATCTCAGCGTTGGCATGAAGTTGTGGGGCAGTGTTGTGGAGATCAACAAACAGCGCCTCAAGATTGGTTTGCCTGATGGACTCTATGGCACTGTGGATGCTTGTCAGGTAACCTTCTAGACACACAAATTGGGTTTTTACATTGTGCTCTGTTTTGGCAAGAAGACATGTCTCCCTTTCATTTCTCAAATCCCTGCAGTGAAGTCCACTTGAGGCGATGGAATGCATGCAGCACTCCAGGCAGGCACAGCTGGTGTTGTGCCCGTGGCTGTGGCCCCATGTGGGATAATTTACAAGTGTGGCATCTGTGCAATCTCGATCCGCATCAATTGGTGATGTTCAGCAGTTCACAAACTGCTGCTGCTGCTCTTCAGTGCTGTTGTCAAATGCCGCAACAAAACAACAATTTGACATCATTCAATGTGTGGGCTTGTCTTGATGGTATTGTTCCCGTGCAACGCATTGTGTGTTATTTTCAGCCCAAATTTGCTGTATCAAGGACTTCTTATTGTATTTTCCATGCCTGCTCTTGGATCAATTGCCCAAACTATGTCACTATGCACCGTTTTGTCCGGGGGCCCCAGCACAGAGATAGTCAGTCCAGGCAAACACAGTGGTACAATTCTTGGACAGTGTGGTCACTGGGGCATCCACTGTGAATAAGTGAATTGATGCAACATATCAGTGCTCAGGATTCTGGCTCTTGTTCACCTACTTTGGTGCCTCTGCTTCTGAAGAACCCTGTAGCTATTGCTCACTGCAAATTCATGGGGTAATTTAGTCGTATATGGTTCAAAGGACATGGATGTTCACAATTGCTTATCTGTACTCCTGTACGCCCAGCATTGCAATCCTTTATGGGTACAGCAACCTTGCGTACCTTGCAGAAGTTCTTTTGCAAGATACTTGACCCATAATGCAGCACTTGCTGTGTGCCTGGGACTACGCGATTTCGTGCTGCACTATCAGGCACACTGTAAAATGTGGGTGTGAAGGGCTCCAGCTATGAATGGCTGAATGCAGTGTGGCACCGGTCATATGATTTGTGAACGTTTGGGCCCAGTATCCAATTGTGTCGACCATATAACTACCGCTGCTCTTATTTGCAAATTTTGCTCATACTCGGTGCCCTTTGTTGCCAGGCATCAGATGTTTTGGCTCTGTTGATGGATCCCAACAATGACGATGTTGCCAACTTGCAACATTCCGGTGGCAGGGCACCCTTCCTCTCTGAACTCTTCTTCCTTGGCCAGTATGTCCGTTGCACTGTTCATTCATTGTCACAGACTGGGACAAAGTGGCACGTTGGCTTATCTCTTCATGTGGCATCAATCAATGATGCCATCGTGGCATCTGATGTGAACAAGGGAATGCTGCTGGTAGCATGTGTTAAAACAGTGGAGGACCATGGCTACAGTCTTACCTTTGGCGTAAAGGTATGTCAAGAAGATGGAATGAGCATAGAAACATGGAGCATGTTGAGCACAAGGGTATGTTTTGCTAGACTCAGTAGAGTCCACCTGTATTGTTGATTTGCCCCCAACTTGACGCTTTCAGCAGTGTGTACTGCAGAGTTCATGTGTTTGATGTTTTTATGCTCTGGGCATTGCCTTCAACTCACATGACTATGGTGTAGTTCTTCAGACTATCATTGCAACACTGTGGAGGCGAACAAACCCTGTTTGCTGACTTGATTGCACTCGCGAATATGAAGCATTCTTAATGGAGGTGAATGCACAGGGCAGGATTATCAAAGAGGACACTGTATAGTGTTTGAGCTGTCTGCTGTGCTTTTGCATGACTAGGGACTTACAGGTTTCCTAAGAAAAGACGAATATGAAGGTTGTTGTGGGGTGGGCAGCACTCTCCTTCCAGGGACGCTGCTGGAATGCGTTGTTGAGAAGAAGGGGGGGCGTGGCCCAGTTCAGGTCACCACAGCACCTCAGAGAATCAGGGTAGCCAGCTTGAAACCTGGGCCTGGGCTTCAATTCGGGGCTGTGCTACCTGGCACGTTAGTGAAGGCGACTATCGACAAGACACTTGACCAAGGCTTGGTCTTGTCGTATCTTGCTTCGTTTACAGGAACTGTTGACTTGTTCCACATGCGACACGTGAGTGGATCGTTGGTGTGTGTCTAGCAAGTGCTTCTTCCTGTTGTTGCTGCTTGATTGCTGATGTATGGTGCTTGGGCAACTGGCACAATGTGAGTGCAGCAGATGTGGACAGTACAGCTGTGTTGCCAGTCCAACTTTGTGGTGGCTGGGTAGCACGCGCTATCAAATTAATTGTGCTGTTGGTGCTGGTCATGGGTCTCTTTGGGCATGAACCCTGGTATCAAATGTCAGCAGGACAGTCCGTTGGCGAATTGCCACGCTTTTCGTCACTTTGCTACTGTCAAATTGTATGTGTGGTCCATTTGCTGGCAATTGTGGTTTTGTGGAGTTATTTGCTTTTTTGTTGAGACATAGCACTCTGCCTCTTGTAGGGATACCAGCCAGGCAGCTTGCAGGCCTATTCTGTGGGTCAGGTGGTCTCAGCTCGGGTGATACATGTGGACCCTGCAACCCATGATGTTGGGCTGTCACTGTTGGACCATCTGTTGCACATGTCACTGCCATGGATGCCATCCATTGTTGGTGGAATATTTGAGAATGCCACAGTACGAAGGGTTGATCCATCGATGGGTGTCTTGCTTTCTATCCCAACGGAGCCCACACCAACTCCAGCATATGTTGTGAAAGCCATGGCAACAGATGACGATTCTTTCAAGCAACTCTTGGAGTCGGGTGGCTTGAAGGTGGGGAAGCAAGTGAAGGCAAAAGTTTCCGGATTTCGGGTTATGGATGGGGTGGGCGCTGCTTGCCTGAAGCCATCTGTCCTTGAGCATGGAGTCATGTCATATGAGGATGTCTACCCAGGCCTTGTTATTGGAGGAAAAGTTGAGAGAATTCTGGAAAAAACAGGTGGCCTTCTGGTAAGGCTTGCCCCGGAGGTGATAGGTTTTGCATCTGAGCTGCACTGCGAAGGACGGACACCCACAAGGCTGAAGAAAATGTTCCCTCCTGGAGAAAAGGTGTGTGCACAAACTAGTAGATTCTGCCGCCGGACAGCACTGAGAGCTTTGCCACAAGAGTTGTCTAGGTCATCAGCAGTTGCAAAGAATCATATCTGGTGCCAAGCCCAAACTTCTGTCTACATTGGTATAGCAGGCTCCAATATTCCTTGATTCAATAGCCTTGTCCACCATTTTGTCACTGGTGGGCATGGATGACAAGCTGAAGTATGTGGAACACATTGACCCACTGCATGTCCATCGCCGGTCACACCCCAGCCCCATGTTGTTCTGTTGATGTTATCATGTGTGTGGCGACACCAGTAGTGACATACCCATCTGCCTTTTGGGGCAGTATTTGGCACCAAATATTTGCAGTCAGGTGACTGCAACTTTGTTCATCACTTAACTTGTTGATAGATTCGGTCACTTTTGCCCACTACTGATCTGCTGTTGTGTTGGTTGTGATGATCATCGCTGTCCAGACCTCAGCAATGCAAGTTGTGCCTTCTCCTTGCCACCATGGCGTTGAGAATATTATTTGGCTTGCAACAATACTAGTCTGCACTTGGCACTCAATGCCACCACACAATGGTGTCGTTGTGACTTCACTGTGCTGTACATTTTCACTGTTGACGACTTGTGGAAGATTGTGAGTGGCACACAGTTTGCAACCACAATTTGGCTTTCCTTTACTGGTTGGTTCCTTGAGAGGAAATGCCAAGCACAACCACCACTCTGCAGTATTGCTCCAATGCTGCCTTTGCATGGGAATCGAATTTTCACTACGCAGAGAAGGAAGCATGCCACACTAGGACACCCTGGTCATCACCTGCCAGGTGCAGGGGCTTAGGTTGCTAGGGCTTCTTGAAAACTCGATCCATGCAGTAACCTTCCATTTGCATTCCTTCTGTGCAAATTGGTTTACACTCATCTCCACACCATGAAGTATCTGAGTGCATCAGCAACAAGATGTAGCTGTGACAATTGTACGTATGAGCAAATGTTGCACTACAGAAACCGTCAAGTGATGTGCATGTGACAAACTTGTCCTGTTGCTGATATTGTTGCATGAAAGTTGGGCATTGTGCGCATTGAAGGGACTTTTAGCTGCTGCAGCTGCACCACGGATGCAGGAAATTCTTTGCCTGTGGTTTGGCTTCACTCTATGTTACATTGATCATTTCCTTTGCAGGTCCTATGCCGCGTTTTAAACAGCAGCCCAGATGATAAGACCGTGAAACTGACGCTCATAAAGGGCCTTGTAAAATGCAAGTTCCCCATGTTTGGAAACTGGGCCGACGTCCAAGCTGGAATGAGGGCGACTGGATATGTTTCATGTGAGTGTATTTGCTGATAGATCAATGCAATGTTTGAGCAGTGCAATTCAATGATTGAGCTGTGCAATGCAATGATTGAGTAGTGTGGAAAGTGGTGTGTCAACTGATCTTGTATGGCAACTGCTGACAGAGGAAGCTGGCACAGTCTGAACAACATGCTTTTCATGGAAGATTTCCTGTTGATGACCCCTACAGCCCCCATGTAGTTGATATTATGCCTTCAAGTATTGATGGGTGCATCGTCGTGGTTGCAACTCTTAGTACATGGACATATCCTTGCTGGATGGCTCAACTCGATGCCTTTGCCAGCTTTATCTTGATGATGGGCAGCTGTGATGAGTTTCAATTGCATCTGAGAATGTCGGTGCAATGCTTTCTAGCCTGACCTGCAATACAGCTGTGACTTCTGGCTGTTGTATGCTGATTTGTATGTTTCCCTCAGCTGTGAAGCAGAACGGAGTACATGTTTCATTCTGCGGCAATGTCCATGGCCTGGTCCCAGTTGCAGGCTTGGACTTAGGTGATGGGGAGACGCCTGAAGGCTGCTTCAAAGTTGGGCAGGTCTTGAGGCCATGGGTTAAACAATGGGACTCAAGGCGCCAACGGATGCAGCTTACATTGAAGAAGTCCTCGAATGAAAAAGTCAAGAATGGAGGCAACAAGCACATGCAGGTGCATGGTGTTTCGCTGGATCCCTGCAAAGGCGGCACCTTGTGCCCTGGGGACAAAGTCAAGGGGAAAGTGAAGCAGGTGAGGTGAAAGAAACGTCAGACTCAACTGGTATTGGTGGTGGTGAAAACATGTTCAAGATGTTGCTCTGCACCCCACCCCCCCTTTCACCCTTCCCTTGTCTACTGTTGTGTTTATCGTATGATAGATCGTGCAGCATCATGTAGGGCCTTTGAAGCCAAGCAGCCCCCTGCAAACTGAAACACTGTGTATTTGGCTCCTCATACAAGCTTTGCTGTGTACTTCAGCCAGTGAAGACAGCAACAGGCACTGGATTCATTGTGGGCATAACATCAGCCAAGGGGGTGGAAGGACAGGCGTTTCTGGAGTCCGCCCACTTGTCAGATCACCCCTTGGCTGTTGAAGCCTTGTCATCTTCATTACAGCCAGGCTGTGCAATTGGGACTCTCTTGGTCCTTGTAGCAGAGCCACAGGCGTTGGTGACCCGAAAGGCATCATTGCTGGAAGAATGTACAACACTTTTTCAAAGCTGTGGGGATGTTGAAGAGGGCATGACGCTGCCAGGTTATATAGCCCATGTGTTCCCAGATGCGCTCACAATACGATTTCTGGGTGGTCTAGAAGGTGAGTCACGGGCTGGGCCAGCTTACTTGGCTGTTACACAGTGCTGTGGCCCACATGTGACATCTTCATCTCTTACTCCTGTGCTGTGCATGCTGTAGATGTCGGAACAGCGGCCGATTGCTCAACATAGGTTCACTGCTTGTCTGCTGAATGCGTTCGCAAAGCATATGGGTTACCTTCTGCATGGAGGAGAAAATTCACAGGAGGTTTAGGGGTGTTTTCCTTATGGAATGTAGCTGCGTGCGATCACCTCAAGAATATCCCAGATGTTTCTGTTTTTCGTTATATTTGAAACAGAATGCTCTTGAGAACTGCTCATCCATGCTGGGTACCCAATGGCAATCTTTTTGGGGCTTGTATCGTGTGCCTCTTTCCTGGAAGTTCCTTTCCACTGTCGCATGTCTCATCTGCCGAGATGCACTGTGTACGCAAGACTTGCTTCGAGCGTGCATTCGTTTCTAAGCAAAATGGTATGCCCACTGGTGCTGCAGGAAGAGTGGATCGTTCGCAGTGGCCTAGCTCTGATTTGACAGAAGGAGATTTTTTTGTGGGCCAGTCAGTCCGGGTGCAGATCATGAAGGTGGACTTCAATGACAACAAATTGTTCTTGACGATGAGACCTACTAGGGTCAGCAGAGAAGAGACAGGATACCTGAAGAATGGATTCAGGTATGTGAAAGCAACCTTGGTCTTCACACTGTTATTTCTGCTATGCCAATAGATGTGTTGTACTTGAGCAACCTTTGTGGTTTTGGCCTTGGTTGTCAAATGTCAGGGCTTGAGTGGTCTTTCTGGTAGTAAATTTCCTGTTTCTGCATTCATGTTTGTTTTATGCACACAACACTTTCAATGCCATCATTCGCGCAAATCTCCATCAAATTTTGTGTTAATTTGAAATCACTGTTGGTTATGTGCTGCTGTCTATTGTATTTGTCAAGGGATGTTGTGGAACATGAACAGATTAGCTGCTCATGCCTGATTGTGTCTTGCACAGACCTTTCTTTGTCTGTGGAGCGTGTTGCCATTGAGCCAGAGGACAAATGGCTTTGCTTTTATATCTGAATTGGAGTTTGAGGTTGCTAATCTGGCAGGTTTTACAGATAATTGGCATGTTTGCATATTATGCTGTTGAATCGTAATCAGTCTTGCATTCATGGAATTCTCTGTTGTGGGCATTGTGGGGCTTGCCATCTGTGGACTCAATTTTTTTCTTTTGCCTTGTGGTATTAGTGATTTGGAGTTTGCAGAGAAAATTCGTGCAAAGTCCGACCCTGAAGCGGCAGTGGACTGGTACAAGCATTTTGCTATTGGACAGCGTGTGCAAGCCACAGTGTCAGAGATAAAACCATATGGCATTGTTTGCGATTTTGAGGAACACGAGGTGAGACTGACAGGCAAAATGCAACGCAGCAATACAGCTAGTCTTCACTGTGCTTGTAATGCTGGCCCATCTTGTGCAGAAAATAATAGATTACAATATTGCACGATGTTTTGCAGCTTGTTGTAGTGGCTGCGAGCGCATGTAAATGGCGTGTGCTTGTCTTGAAGTGGCTCCTGTGAAAAGCTAGTGCACATTGATTGTGAGTGCTTTGAACCTGATGTGTGTTTGCTGTCACACATGTGCAGCAGAATAGCAGATATTTAGTGTTTCAAGGCGGCAATTTGTGGCTCTGTTTGGGCTGGTGAGCTGTTAGCCTTGCCACTTTGTTCGTGGCTCTTGCACTCAATTTCCCTCCCCCCCCCCTGCCCCTGCTGTTTCTGCACACTTTTCCCTAGGCTTGTGCTGAGTATTTTTTGCCATCTGCAGGATTTGGTTGGACTTATACCAAAGAACCATAGCTCAGAAGGGGTGCTGAATGAAGGAGACGAGGTTGAGGCCATGGTGCTGGATGTTTCCAAACATGCTGGAATTGTACGGTTGACGTTAAGGCCCCATCTTGTTAGCTCTGGTGGTTTGAATTCCACCAGGAGAGAAAGGCCAGCTGTTGCTGCTGCTGTCACAGCTGGAGAGTGTGTGGAGGCAGTTGTTGAATTAGTAGAAGATCATTATCTGATAGTCTCCTTGCCAAGTAAAGGGAATGCGGTTGCTTTCACGTCATTAAGAGACATTAATCTGCAGGGCCTCAATGTTCAGCAATGCTTCCAGTCAGATCAAGTCATTCAAGCAGCAGTTGCTGCACCCGCCAGCAAGGCTTGGGGTGGCAGGATTCTGTTGCAGATCCCTCTTGGTGTGTACCTGAGCCAAATGAGTCAGAAATCCAAACAGGATAGCAATCAGGTGCACACATTCAGTGAGGGGGAACATGTGCAGGGTAAAGTCACAGATGTATATGACACACACCTTCTGATGAAGCTAACCACACGAGTACATGGCAAGCTGAGTGCCTTGGAATCGGGCCATTGTCTTGAAGACGTTTCCAACTTTAAAGAGCGCTTCCATGTGGGCGAAAATCTTCTGGCAAGGATCATTAAGGTGGGTACCTGGAGGATGTCTTGTGGGTATTACAGTGCTGCAGAATGGATCCTGAATGGAACTGTGTTTATAGTTGCAGTGTGTAAGGATATGCACGACCTTGAAAAAGAATGGAATTTGTGTGACAGTAGCTATGTTGGAAGCTGGGTTTCATGTATCCACCAAAATTCAGGTTCAGGTTGCAGTTCATGGCATGAGTCACAACACCTGCAAATGGACTTTGTGTTTTCTGGTGCCCTTGCCCTACCTCGTGCATTTATCGTGCGTGCAACTGCTGGGGGCTGATACGGTGTGCTCAAACGCTGTGCTGCAGATGGAGCTGAACAAAAATCTTGTGCACCTCACACTTCGGGAAGCCAGCAATGAACTTCCAAGCATTGGCGATCTTGTGATCGGTGTGGTGTCAGCAACAGGGCCTCACAAAGTCAATGTGACTCTGAGACGGGGTGTCCATGGCAGGGTGGCTTATACTGATGTTCATGATCACTTTCTGGACAACATCGAAGAGATCATTCACAAAGGTACACTGGTTTGTGCCCTTGTCGTTGGGCAAGATGGTCACAGAAGCTGTCAATTGTCTCTGCGACCGTCTGATGGAGGGTGCGTAGCCGGTGCTGCTGCCCTCCCTGAAACAGGTGAGCAGTGCCCTACCTCTCTGGATGCTGGGGACTTGAAGGTGGGCCAGGTGGTGACAGGATACGTGAAAAACTCCACAGATATTGGCCTTTGGGTCACGCTGAGCAGAAGTCTTGATGCCAAGGTGTTGCTGAGCCAGATGTCGGATGCCCATGACTACTCTCTGGGACTGAAGGTCAGTGGAAGAGTCACAAGCATTGCACATGGGAAGATCTCGATGAGCCTGAAGGACAACACAGCAGTGAAGGATGTAGCAGCAGTGCAAATCAAAGAAGGGGAGATTGTTGAAGGCAGGGTGCAGAGGATTGTTGAGTATGGGGTGTTTGTAAACATTGATGGTGCACAAAAGCAGTCTGGCCTTGCGCACAGGTCCAATTTGGCAGATCATGCTGTGAAGGACATTTCAGGCCTGTTCAAGGTGGGGCAGCAGGTGCGAACACTTGTCATGAAAGTGGACAAGGAGACTGGCAAGATTGCCCTTGGGCTAAAGCCATCGCAGGTTGGCAGCCAGGCAGAAGACAGAGAAGAGGCAGACTCTGATGGAGACTTTGAGAGGGCGCTTGTGCAAGAAGACAACAGCACGGATTCCATGTCACTTGATAGCCGCTGCTCTGTTGAGGATCTGGACGACGTGACGATACATTCTGGTGATGAGCAAGATGCAGATGTTGCAACATATGACGAGGAGGATGCCAGTGTATCTGACGATCAGCAACCCAATGGCAAGGAACCTGAGCCAGCAAGTGTGCCAGAGGACACGTGGGGCCGTCTTGTGCTTGACGAAGACAGGGGTGCTGAGCCCATGTCTGATGGTCAGGCAGACCAGTCCAGGAAGCATCTGAGCAAGGCACAGAAGAAGAAACTCAAACGAGAGCGTGAGAACCAGATTTACAAGCAGGAACTGGCACGCGTGTCTGGGGAGCACACCCCCTCTAGTGCAACAGACTTCGAACGACTTCTGCTGTCCACCCCAAACTCGTCGCTGGTGTGGGTGCGGTACATGACGTTCCTGTTGTCTGTGGGCGAAGTGGACAAGGCCAGGGGGGTGGCTGAGCGCGCACTGCAGACAATAGACTCCAGCGAGGAAACTGAGAAATTCAACATTTGGGTGGCATACCTGAATCTCGAGAATTATTATGGCACGCCACATGACGAAGTGGTAATGAAACTCTTTCAGCGTGCCCTGCAGTACAACGAGCCCAAGAAACTGTACTTGGCGGTGTTCAACATGCTTGACCAGAACCCTGCAAGCCAAGAACTGGCTGGACAGGTGTTAAAAACCATGACACGGAAGTTTGGATCTAGTGCGAAGGTTTGGCTGAGAGGCATAGAGCACAAGTTGAAAAGAGGGGAGGGCAGGCAGTCCAGAAAGCTTCTAGAGGCGAGCCTCAAGACACTGCCGAAGAGGAAGCATGTGAAGGTCATATCGCACACAGGGCTGTTGGAGTTCAAATGTGGAAGTGCAGAGCACGCCAGAGACATTTTCGAAGGTGTGGTGTGCAACTATCCGAAGAGAATCGACCTCTGGAGCGTCTATTTGGACCAGGAGATCAAACTCGGGGACCAGGAGCGGATTCGATCGCTGTTCGAGCGTGCCACACATCTCAAGTTGCCGCCACGCAAGATGAAAGTTCTCTTCAAGCGGTACCTTCATTACGAGAAGACTTATGGGGACGAAGCAACAGTGGAAAATGTGAAGAAGAGGGCCGTGGAGTATGTCCAAAGCGTTGAAGGCTGTGTAATGTAGACTGCTAGACTACGTGCATATCCACAAATTGTGTGTAGAGTGAAATAATTTGAGAATTGGGTAACGAATTGGTAGGTTACGTGGAGGGCATAGCATGAAGTAGACCACATACTACAACAGCAGGCAGCGGCATAGCGGCGAGCTTATGGTTGTTGGTTTCTGTAGAACTGGACTGCGCTGCAGTACCTGGCATAAGCTGGATGTTTGCAAAGTGTTGGCCATGATTTGCCCGTTGTTTCCTCGTCCGTGGCTGCCAGATGCTGTCTGAATAGATTAGTGAGTATTCTGCGGAAAAAAAACTCCGAATTGTGTTGTTCATGGCTCCTAACTCCCTTGGAATGTCAAGAGAGGTTATAAGTAAATGGTTTTGACGTTTCTGAAGCTCTTGATTTACGCTTTTCGGCAATGAAGGGCAAAACCGGAGCACAAGAACTCCATAGTAACATTGTCGCACGTCGATTTCACAAGCGCTGATTGTTACAAGTCCAAAACCATGAGATACCAGTCCAGAAGTCGGGCCTTCGGCCCCGACGTTCTGCACTTTTTCGTTCCTGCTTCATCCGTTATTAAGAGCCTGCTCACTCGGTGCCTGGGCTGCGCAGTTGATGTTGTTCCTTGGACAACAAATCCTGGGGAAGCCCTCCTGTGGGTCCTGTTTCCACCCATACGTTTGGATTGCAAAACAACCGCTGCAGCCAGATTGGCTGATTGACGCACGGATGCTGGATCGCATTCGACAGTCTCGGTTTGTGATTGTCACACATCGCACGCTGCAGTTGCGATGGCGGGGTTGTTCACCCCACCCCGTGCTCGCGCTCAAGCACACCCATCGGGCTGGGCGGGACCCACGCCACCGACCTCCGCAATAAACGCATCAACTCACTCATAGGTCTAGGGGCCTCAACGCCTCGCCTTGAGGTGGGCGGTGATTGCCTCGCGTGCCACACTGGCCGTGCCGATGGCTGCCACGGCAGAGAGCGTTCAGGGAAACGGAGCAGCTCCCCGCGCCGGGGCGAGCCCTCGCGTGGGGCTGCAACTTCGACCGTTGAGTTTTGGGACCCGAGCCATCGCCACTGCGGCCATCGGCGCTGGCGATGGCCGTCAACGCCAGCACGACGACGGGGAATCGTGTCCCACTATCCCAATGCGCGGCTCCACACCTCGAGAGAAGGCGCTGGGTTCGGCGTGGCCTCTACCGGGATCGCCCACCACCATCGCCGTCGCTTGCCATCGCCACGGGTGTGATTCGCAAGCCATCGCCGCAGCCGCATTGCCCTCAAGCGACCCAAAAGCGCATTCAACACTCACGACCCGTGATTGACGCACACCGTGCATTGTGATCGCGATGGCGAAGGTCCATGCCCCAACCCGAGCTTGCGCTCAAGCACGCAACCCAACCCGAGTGGGAGCTGCACACCCGCTCTCCGTTTTCCAAAACTTCACTCCAGGGCCCGGGGGCCCCGAACGCTTGCACTTGAAGGGCGCGCTGATTGCATCCGGTGCCGCGGTCGCAGTGCCGAAGCCTGCCACAGCAGAGCGCTGGAAGTACTTTGGAGTACCTCCACGGCTCGACTGGAGCCCTCGCGGGAACGGCAACACCGAGCCGCGCGTTTGGGCGCGGGGCATCGCCGTTGTGACGATCGGCACCGACGATGGTCTCCGTTGCCGCCGCGACGACGCGGAATCACGTCGGGAACACGCGCCTCGAGCGCAAGCGCGCACGGCGCGCTGCAGCCACGGCACCGGCAGCCGCGCGCCTCCCGTCGGCCGCCCTCGAGCACAGCCACCGGCGCCACCCAGGAACGCATATGCCCACAGCACCCGACCCGGAGAGCCCCGCCACTCACGTACCCCCCATGTCACCGGGGTCGATTCTTACACAAGAACGCTGAGTCAGCCTTTAAAAAATTCATTTCCGGGGTGCTCTTAGCCGGTTCCCAGCTTATAATATAAGACCAAGAATAGACTCATGCTGTCCTTCAATGGCAATAAAGCATTCCCGGCGTCACTCAAAACCGGCTTTCTGGTATGATTTGTGCCAAGAAGAGTATCAGTGTTGGATTGTGCCATCCTACTGCTCCTTACCACCATCACCTGCCAGCGTCCCCAAGCTCACAAAGGCTGGCCAAAGAGAAGATTTCAAAGTGCAGCGCTAAATCCAATGCCAACTCATTTCTTGCCTATCAATTATAGAATTGTCGCTAGCCATGCTCCAGATCACCATATCAAACAGAAACTGACAACCAAAACGGTACGTGTTGTGTAAACTACTAGGGGTTAGCCGGTTTACTCCAATTATTCACTGGGAAGTGATAATTGACACAAGATTGTACCTAGATGGGACAGAGGAGGCTGTTAGCTTTCCATAGGTCTTTGGATCATCCCAAACGGGTTAGCGGTAGTGGAGTTATGGCTTATAGAAGTTCCAATACTTGCGGTTGGGCCCCTACCGTACTCGGGGATGAGATACTATCGATACAGGTACATTCGATACGCTGTTCTGTCGATTGTGTACC